ATCCCACTCTTAGTTTCACCTTTCCAGATTCTGGGGGTGGAGATCCCACCTCGAGCCTCCTTTCCAGCTAAAGATAGAATATAAAATTCTTCTTCTTCAGTGACGGGAGATAGAATATAAAATTCTTCCTCTCCCATTTCGGGTTCGTCTTTGCCCCAAGAGAAGACACCACCTTTGTCAACTCCCAAAATCTGTGCCTCACAAGTACAGGGAATTTTATCCCGAATCCTAAGCAGGGATAAGTCTGCGCCTAACACGCGTCGCCGGTTTAGTCTTTTTCCGTAGTAAAAAAGACACCAGAGCCTGAAACCTAAGCAAGGATAAGTCTGCGCCTGACACGCGCTGCCGGTTAGTTCTTAACCGTTTAAAAAGAACACCCGTTCACATATTCAACATTGTGACAGGTTGTTATTAATAACACCAGAATCCATGCCTTACACACATGGGGAATTTCATCCTGAATCCTAAGAAAGGATATGCCGACGCCTAACACGCGTCGCCGGTTTAGTCTTTTTCCGTAGTAAAAAAGACACCAGAGTTCGATTCTAGAGAATTTTATCCCGAAGCCTAAGTAGGGATAAGTCAGCGTCTAAAACACGTTGCTGGGTAGCCTATTCCCATAACAATGGCGAAGTCTACATATTCAAAGTTATAGCATCAAGTCTAAGGGAGTTCATTCCTTTAGCACAACGTCACATGCGGAACGGATTTAGACAATCTGATCAAGTCTAAGGGAGTTCATTCCTTTAGCACAACGTCACATGCGGAACGGATTTAGACAATCTGCATGTAAGCCTGATTCGAACGGTAGTCGGTAAGAGCACGTCAAATCCGTTGAAGGCTGAGGATTTGCCAAAAATCCTAAGTCAACGTCTCATACACGTTGCTGTTTAGTCTTTTCACAGGAGAAAGACGAAGTCTACGTATTCAAGATCGTAGCACTAAGAGGGTTAACTCTTTTAGCTTAACGTCACATGCGGAACGGACTTGAACAATCCGCATGCTAGCCCGACTCAAACGGTAGTCGGTAAAGGCTCATCAAACCCGTTGATGGCTGAGAATTTGCCAAAAATTCTATAAATACGAGTCATAGATGTATCAACTCCGTAGATTGGTCTCATGACTCGAGTATCCGCCACGCTCCAATTCCTTTTAAACTGTGTATACTCCAGCTTGGACGCCGGACAACGCGTCACAAAGAAGCTCAAACGCCGGACAACGCGTTGTAAATGAAGATTCAACGCCGACGACCGATGGTCAGTTCTATGTTGAAATAACCAACTCGAGCTAAAAAGTCAGAAAATCGAGAATCAACTTCAAATTCAAAATTCTGACAGACGGTCAGACAATAAATGCAGCACCGGAACCCTTACAGACATTCGACAAAGCACCGAACAGCCTGGAGGACTGAAAGAATCAAGAATGGAAGCCACTCCAAATATCCAGTCGTAACCAATCATAGGATGGGACAATCATATCCAAAGTATTACAGACTCTTCTATAAAAGAACGAGGCTGAAATACTTTGGAGGGGGTATCTGTAGGCGTATAAAATTGCCTATAGGTCCCTTAGCACAGCTCGACGCCGATTTAACAAACGGACCACCGGGCGACGTATCCAAACAAGACCG